AGTAAAATTTTATTAGACCCCCTCTCCCCGTCCCCCATCCCCCCCCCGCTCCAGATAACAGGAACAAGCTTTTAATGAGCAAAGACAAGGCACAAGTTTGATATCAACTTAGAGATTCTTGGCAAAAAATTGAAAAAGTATAGGAACTTATGGGACTGACAAAATTGTGGCAACTAGTTAAATTATAAGGGGACTTTTGTTTGGTAGCTCAACTTGTCTACATGGCTTGGATACTGTGGGCTTTTGCATATGGATTAAGTTTTATAAGAATTTTCAGCATAGATTGCTCTATATGATTGCTCATCACTGACCCCTTATAAAGTGTATACATTCTTTGGCAAGTAATTTATTTCTCTCTGTGTGTGCAAGACATACAGACACAACTATTTATCAGACCAATTGTTTTGGCATCTGCCAAAAATTAACCAGCAATGAAACAAGCTGAGAAGCCAGCTTGGTGTAGTGGTTAAGAGTGGCAGACTCTAAGCTGGAGAACCAGGTTTGGTTTCCCACTCCTCCACATGATGCAGCTGGGTGACCTTAGGTCAGTCACAGTTCTCTCAGAGCTGTTCTCTCAAGAGCAGTCTTTCGAGCTCACTCAGCCCCACCTACCTCACAGGGTGTCTGTTGTGGGGAGAGGAAGGGAAGAAGATTGTTAGCCACTCTGAGACTCCTTTGGGTAGTGAAGGGCGGAGTATAAAAACTGTTCTTCTTCAAGTCCAGATTTCAGTTTTTGGTGTCTCAATCCAGACTCCTTTAAAGTGCAGGCAATTTCCATTCTATTTTGTCACGAGAATGATGACAAAATGATTTTTTGTGTTTATTGATTTTTGGTTTGGGTCATGAATTAGGCCCTGAAGCAAAGGACAAGCAAGGAAAGGAGTTCTGATACAATCATATGCAGGAGGGATAAGAGAATGGCGCACAGTGTCTCTTCTTATGATTTGAATCTTTGCAGCCCAGTCTTAGTCTAACCCGTGGTGTTCTCAGAATATGAGGAAAGTGGCTTTCATTCCCCCCTGGGGTATAGGTCATCCAAAAGTTCTCTCATGTCATCCTACAAAGATACCTACATTCTACAAGGCTATATAAGCAAACCCTCCCTAGTACTCTCATTGCAGCCACAAGAATCCTGTCACATCTAGTTTGGCCCTAATTGGTTGGTACGAGCCCCACAGAGCCAGTTAGTGAGAACAGTATGTTCTGGCAAAGGAACACAATCGTAGCCCAAGTGCTAGCACAGTGGCAAGTGATCTCCACTGCTTCACTGAAAGTCTTCTGCTTCCTCTTTGTGATGGCAGGATTAGTCCAGAGCATGGAGAAAGGGCCAACAAACCATCTTGAGCTGCCAAGCCCAGAGCCAGGGAGAGGGAAACAAATTATCACTATCTCTCGGGAAGAGCATGACGCCTCTGCCCCACCCCTTCCCATGTGCCAAGTGCAAGACGAAGGAGGTTTCAACTTTTATGACACAAACCACTATGTGCAATATGGCAGCAAAAGCTGACTTGTGGGATCAGGTTGCCTGCTTCATTAATACTGATATTTGTTACAAACAGCAAAAGGAGATTAACAGATGTGTTTTTCCCTTTGCATAAAACTTTGCTGAAATTGAGCTGAATTCCTCACACTAACAGCAAAGCAAACTGTGGAAAAAAGTTCTAATTTACAGCACACTGTCCAATATAATGAATCGTCTGTGTACAATTTTGCTTTGAAAGGGATCAGCAGTTCTGTGCGATTCAGATGAATAATGCATTGCTAGAGCATAGGCTGCAAGGATGTTTACACAAGCAGTTCTAAAAGTTTCCCCACTGCCTGCAATGGGATGCCCATAACTTGATTACTCAACAATGGATCCCTTGTATTTAAATAAAAGCCAATTTTTACATTACATTTGTAGGTACATGCCTAACATCGTGAATGCAACCGCTGTGCAGAGAGCCAAGCATGTTTATCATACAGGGTACACCCAATACTCATCAGGGAGCAATGGCAAGCTGCAGTTTCCCTTAGACTATACCTACATTCATTAGCAAACCTGGGTTTGCCACCATGTAATGTGTGAATAGTCACCCTGGAGTCTAGACCTAATAGGATTCCCTTGCGAAGTCATGGTTGAGGTGAGGGGATACAGAAGTTCTGTCTGAGATGGCTCATTCGGACCTGATGGTGTGAGATGATGGAACAGGTATGTATGAAGCATCCATTACACAGCTTTTTATGTTCAGGCATCCCCAGGGGCAAGGCAGGAAGGAGGGCTTAAATTTGCATCTCAGTCCAGAAGTCCTTTATACTTCCCCTGTGAGCAGAAGAGCTCTATCTGAAATATGCTATCAGCCCTCCATCCATCATTTAACCATAGGGATAGATACCATATTATTCATATTCATATTATTGCCTCTCCTCCCTTTCCAGAACAGTCTCTGTGCCATATTGGTGAGCACAACCAGGCACTTCTGTGGGTATGGTGAATAGGACATGATGGCCTAAGAGGCTGGAAAGGGGCTGGAAAGCTCTATTCTGCACGAGCTTGGGGGGGGCAACTCTTCCATCAGGAGAAGATGAACTTCTGAGCGGTGCTGCTAATCAGCTGGAGTGTGAACACTGGCATAAAAGATGTGCAGGAGATAATTAAAGTGATTTTCCAAGTGGCTTGGGAAAGAGCCTGTTGAGCGTCTGTATAGTATTCTGTTGTTGACATGTTTATCTGCCAAATAGTTCTCCGTGCAAAAATATATTTAACAACTTTTAAAATCCACCCAATATATGTTTTCTTCTTATTATATATGTTAAAAAAATAAAGCGTAACTTGTACTTTCCTAAAAACTCTATGTTCGTAAGCAACTTTACAATACATTATTTTGGAAGTGAGGGGGAAACTATTTAAATGTGCTAAATTTATGTGGCAAATTTTGTTAGGATCACCATTTGGGCCTGTAATGTGACAGGAACCACTCTGGAGGTTACAGTGTGCTGAAGGACAGGAAGGACCAGTGACTTGCGCTCCCTGGTTTTGACCACCTTGCCTAAAGAGAGTCTCATGTGCTTCTCTTACATGAGCGGCACATGCGGATGTAACCTGAAGACCTCCAAGCACAGGAGATGCACAAGTCCTTGCACAAGAAAAGCAAACACAGGAGAGGCACTCACACTTCCCCTTCCCTATCGTAACATCCAAAGTCACCCAAAAAACTGTTTTATAGCTCAGGTTCTCTTCTCAGTAGCATATCTATAAAAATCCAAAAATCTAATTCACTCATGATATATGCTGGTGAAATGGAAAGCAGATTGTGGCACTAGGAAGGTTAAGAGTTTGGGGCCACAAACCTAAGCATATTTGCGAGACAGTAAGCCCCACTGAGCTCAGTGGGACTTACTTCTGAGTAAACAAGCTTAGGATTGCTCTGTAACTCAGTTGCAAAGTCACCAAAACATCTTGCATGTTAATCAAGCTAACAATAATTCTCAAGGTACACCTGATGCATAAAAATCTATCCTGCAAAATGCTAAGATACCTAGGACAGCAAAGACCTTGTTTTCATCCAGGTAACTGCCCATATGCTTCTCAACAGCTTTACTGGACCAAAGATGAAATATTCAGGGTCTTACAGATCTCTGTTAAGGATCTTCACAGTGCTGACTGGGCAGACCTAGCTTTTGGCCAGAAAGCAGGCTCAAATGTGTTACGTAGTAACAAATGTGCATCTGCATACACCATGCAGTGTTATATGATTAATGTGATATATGTGGAGGTTCCAGTTTTGCAAAACAAGTTAAAACTGTGCTACTACAGATCAACCCAAAAAAAACTTTCCTAAAATGTGAGCCTGCTTTTAAAAGAGAGAGCTAGGGCACATGGTAAAGCAACTGCACAACTGTTTTACCATAATCTCAAAGTCAACACATCCTCTTTCGAGTCTAGCCCTCAAACTGGAACAATAACCAATTTGGGATTGTGCAGCATTTTTTAAGCAGATGTATCAATTCTGAAAATTAAAACATCCCCAAATCCATAGTGTATATACTATGACCTGGAAGGCGACTGGATTGAAGACTCACATGTGTTTCAGATGATAATTCACACTTAGTTACTGAGTACCCAGGATTTCAGTCTTTCAGTTTTCCTCTAAAATTACAAAGTATGCTTATGGGTGCTGGCACAAGTTTTGACTTGCAAGCTTAATATTTCATATATAATCATGCTTGATATTTGCAATTGTTCCTCATCAGTGGTAAAACAATGTTTTTTCTTCAAGTACGGATATCCAGTTTACAGTATTTCAGGTTCCATAATGTACATGACAGGGTACATTATCTGAAGTGCTGTGTTATCCATCTTCCTTGGTCGTGTTGCAATTGTTCTTGTGTCTTTCATATTTTCTTTTCTTTAAATAAAAAAAGAGTTAACAAAGTACTATCAAACACCACCAAAGAGTCCTCAGTGTCACTGGAAGTTGTCTATAAACAGAGCACTTGAAAGGGGAAAAGGAAAGTCCTTAGTAGTGCATGTCAAAGTTCCTTGTAGCTCATGGCTAAGATGCTTTAAATGAGACAAGGAAAAAATCGGCACCCACTTGCTTTTCCTAGTATTTGGAAAGCTAAATGTCAAAAAGCAGAGGATGCTTTTTTCCCCTTCAGTCTTCAGATTAAACCTGATGCTGATGAATGATTCTCTGTCTAAAAAAAGAAAGACTTGAAAACCACAGCAGGAGACATTGCTGAAACTGCACTTTTGCAAGTTCTGCAAGAGATCCAAAGAGCTGCACAACAGAGCAATAATATCCCAAAAGGAAAATGAAGAAAAAGCTTTGGTTGCCTTGAGCTTGTTTGTTGTTTGAAGAATTGTCTGTTTTCCTTGCCAGCAGAGGAAATGTGCTTGCAAGGTGATGAAGCAGGAAAGACACTCAGATTTTGGATAAGAAGCAGGCAGAAATGCAAATGGCTCCTGTCATTTGTAGCACAAATGGGTCCAGGTGACATCTGACCAGTACTGTGTTTCAGTCATCTTCTCGGCACATTGGAATGTTCACAAAAGTGAAGACGTTGAACTCAATCATTATCGAAAAACACAAGAAGATTGCGTAAAGAAAGAGGACACAGAAGCCCAGTTTCTTGTCAAGTTTCCATTTATTTAAGTGGATCCCAGCCACCTGTAAGAACAGAAGATATGAATCCATTAACATACAAGCTAAAAGAAGGCTTCTAATTTTAATAACTGCACCAAGAAACAGGCTTCTGCAGTGTACTTCTTCTGCTGTATGGACAACTCTCACCATCCCCCATAGCAAATCAAATACTGTAAGGCTTTTCAGAAATATGGGGTGGGGTGTGAATTGATGGCTTAGGACTGACAAGCTTGTGGGAATGTGGAGTGAAGCATTAAGTAAACTCTACTGCAGTTTGTCAAGGCACACATGAAGTTGCCTTATACCAGATCAGAGACCTGGCCCAACTAGCTCAATACTGATTACTCTACCTTTCCTGGCACCTTCTACTGAGATCTTTTAGCAGAGATGTCAGGGTTTGAGCTTGCGACTTTCTGCATGCAAAGCAAGTGCTCTAGCGCTGAGCTACAGCGCGTCTTTGATATATGGCATCCCTAGCTTCAAGGCTGCCCGTGAAGAGGACTGGGAAACTTCAGCTGGTGGAAAATGCCACAGGCCATTTCTTATCAGGCTCTGGCCATTGTGCCTAAGTTTCATTGGTGCTGAAGCCACTGGCTGATTTACATCCATGGGCCCAAGTTAAGGTGCTGGTGCTCACCCATCATGATCTGGAGCCCACATGCTTGAAAGACAGCCCCTCCGGATATGAAGCTTTGCAGCTATTGCATGCCTCACAATAAGGTCTCCCAACAGCCCCCTTGCTCTAGAGGATAGGGAGTGTTATGCCCAGGTCTTTTCTGCTGCTGCCCGGCTGCTATGGAATAGTTTGCCAGAAGGGGTGGGGCATGCACCTACCTTCAGGGCTTTTGGGACTTTCCGGTGTGACTGTGAGGCAGAAGTGTTTAAATGAGCTTATGGGGAAGCTTGAGCGGAATTTGGCTTACCTGATTATGTATTTCTTTAAAATTACTTATTTTTAATGATGTGTTTAGATTATTTTGATAGATGGCTCTTTTTAATAGATGATAACGTATTGGTTGTTGTCGCCTGCCTTGGGTCCTGATTGTATCATAACATTTGTTGTTTAGAATATTTTAAATATTCTAAGCAAACCAGGGTATGTAAATATTCTAAACAACAAATCACTGTGACATGGATAACCCAGGCTAGCCTGATCTCATCACATCTTGGAAGCTAAGCAGGGCCAACATTGGTCGGTATTTGAGTGGGAGATCTCCAAGGAAGCCCAGGGTCACTATGCAGAGGCAGGCAATGGCAAACCACTTCTGGACGTCTTTTGCCTTGAAAACCCCACCAGGTGTTGCCATAAGTCAGCTGTAACCTGACCACAAAAAACCCCCAACAAATAGATAAAAGGAAGCCGGGTTTATTTATTTATATCCTTATTTTTTTTGAAATCTCGCCCTTCCTTCAGAGACCTTAGAGAAGCATCTTAATGCTCGTCTGCACATCTGTGTCCCTTACTTTGTGATGCAAGTTGGACTCAGAGAGTGACTGGCCACAAAGTTGGTGGGAAAGAATGTTAATATTTCATCAAAGGAAGCCTTGAGAGAGAGAGAAAAGTGAAGATGACCCTTCGGTGATAGTAAAGCACATAAAGACCTGAGTGTACTGAGGTGCTCGCTCCCATTAGCTATTCAGCTAAAACTGTCATGTATATTCTAATAATGGAAAGTTTGACTGTTAGCTTTAGAGCTGCCTAAAATGTCAAGGAAAGACATCTCATGGGATGCTTTCCATACTACAATGAAATGTCGGAACCTAAAAATACCTGAATTGCTAACAGGAGAGCACACCTTGAAATATCATCATTATTAACCTGATTGGATGCAGATATTTGCTAACAAAATAGAAATGCACTTACGGTGAGAGCTACTGATCCTAAGAGGAGCACAACAGAATAGACTAGTCCTTTGCTGTTGATCTTAACCTATGAAAAATCAAAATGAAAACGTTTCTTTTTAAGTAAATCAAGGCTGCATTAGCTAGCATACTGCAATTTCCAATGTAATATTTCTAGACTTACAAATAATTAACAACATTCAGTTCTTCACTAACTAAGCAAAGTGAATGGGAAACTCACACCTTATTTAGTACCATTTATATATTTATTTATCTGTTGAGGGGGGAATGATTTAAAAACAAATAACTAAACTCATCCTTTAAGGGATTCTCCCAGTAACAGTGACTATGATATATTGCTGATGGCCCCAGATATCTTGGCCCAAGAAGATCTAGCCCCCCAGTTGATTTTGAGAATATTCACGTGCATTTAGTTTCCTGAGAACTGTACACACAAGGAATTTGAACACCCAGGGAATTCAGCCTTTTCACTGTAACAAAGAGGTCTAAAGAGAAATTTCTAAGTATATATACATACAGCTGTGCCGTAATTGACAACCATAGTCTGCAAGCCCCATGGTACTCCAAGGCCCACCAGAATGTCAAACACATTGCTGCCAATGGTATTGGACACAGCCATATCACCAAGTCCTGAAACATAAACATTTCATAAATAAAACCCAGCATTTGTGATTAATATAACAATTGTCTTCACAGCAAGCAGGGAACATAAGGCACAAATGAGGGGCATGTCTGGACAACCACCTTACATGGGTTTAGCTGTTGTGACCTGAGGCATTGTAGGTTTGTGAACTGGCTACAGATCCCTTGCAAGAAATCTCTGCACCCTCACAAAACTATAAACTTCGGGGGTTCCTGGAAGAGGGCAGGAGATCCAAACCATCGGAATTAGTTTAACAACTGGAATAGATCTATAGTGCTGAACTGTTGTGTCAACAATGTCTGGAACGTCAGGAATGTAGAAAGATACCTCAAGTAATGACTAAAGATATATCTGTACAGGATCAATGTACGGGCCCTGCCCCCAGGCATCACTGAGTGCACTGGCCCTGCCTCTCCCGCGTATGAGATAGTCAAGTGTCAGTATCCCCTGACATCGCATCAAGTATCCACCGTTAGAAGAATAAGCTCTTCAAACATCACTTCAGTAACCAGTGAGCAATAGAGCAGGGTTAACATTTCTGGGTACTTCTTTATCTGCCCCGACCTGCATAGCCCGGGGTAGCCTGATCTCATCAGATCTTGGAAGCTAAGCAGGGTCAGCCCTGGCTAGTATTTGGATGGGAGGCCTCCAAGGAATACCAGGGTCGTGACACAGAGGCAAGCAATGGCAAACCACCTCTGAACATATCTCGCCTTGAAAACCCTACAGGGTCGCCATAAGCCAGCTGTGACTTGACGGCACTTTCCACAACTGCCACTCCTGCTTTATCTATCAAGCCATTCATTTGGCAACTCTCTGTTTTGGAACCATACATACACGTGGTTAGATGTATTAGACAAGGGGAAGGACCTTGCTGAAGTATCTCACTCAGATATGCACTGGGACCTGGGAACTACAGTAGCGTGCCATCATAATCCCCATTTATTTTAGAGGGTTTCCAAGCAGAAAATGCTCCAGTTCTTTTTTATGCAGTTATATTATCTCAGGAGGTTGAGAGATGCTATATTGCATGAGGGAGAAAGAATAAGCCTACCCTGGGACCAGTGTTCCCTCTAAGCTGAGTTAGGGTGAGCTAGCTCACAGTTTTTTAGCCTCCGGCTCACACATTTTTGTCTTAGTTCACAAAGGAGGGATCCAGAGCAAACTAATTTATGCAGTAGACAAATCACTCGCTCACAACTTTAATGCTAGTCGCTCACAAAGTAGAGTTTTTGCTCACAAGACTCCACAGCTTAGAGGGAACATTTCCTGGGGCCCAATTAACCATACTAGTGGAGCATACCCCAAATGGAAAACTTTGGGCTTGCTTCTCAGGAACAGTAGCCCCCTCCTCAAATGGCAAACTATTAGTAAAATAGAGACAACTTTCCAAACAGTTTGTGACATCTCTTTGGTGATGGGAGAGGAAATCTCCTATTCAAAGCCCCAGGGCATGCAAGAGAGAGCTCTTTGGCCCTTGGCCCTACTAGTTTTGAAAAAAGTTGTGCAGACCCATAATAAATATTAATGTAAAGACCACCACAACATCAATCTGAATGCAATGCAGATGATACCTTGTCTTGCTACTATTAAACTGGCCATGCAGTCTGGTACACTGGTTCCTGCAGCTAGGAAGGTAATGCCCATGATAACATCAGGGATCCCCAGAGTGTATCCAATTATCGTAACCTATGCAACAGTGGAAAAC